AGCTCCAAAGACTGCACTTGGCAACGAGGGTCAAGGTTGTTTCTTTATTCTCCATCCGATTTTTCTCATTTTTCGTCATGAGTTCCTCCCCCACACGGGAACAAAGCTGTTCTATCTCCTCCAGAGTTGCAACTTATGGGGGAGGGTTTAATGAAGCAGGAAATGTCATCATTGCCTAACTCAGCCAGGGAAGATTATTTAAATCAATCTCCTCTCTCTCTCTCTCTCTCTCTCTCTCTCTCTCTCTCTCTCTCTCTGTGTGTGTGTGTGTGTGTGTATGTGTGTGTCTTTCTCTTGTGGCTACTTGGGTGGATTCTTTGGAGATCTCACCCCTCATTCATCATCTGTCACCTGAAGAATCATGGATAATGCATCTCCTGACTGGTCCTATACAATTTCTCCCTGCAACTTTAGCTATGCAACATATACCTTTACACTCTTTTTACTAAGGTCTCATCACTGCTCCATATGACCCACTGAGATCTAAGAAAATATTAAATTATTGCTGGTTAACCCAGCGTTCACTGAATATAGCTCCTTCTTAAAATATAGTCCTCCTTGGTTCACCTGACAGATGGAGTCAGCTAGTTTTGTTTATATTTCTTAAGCATGAATCAGACATTAGTCCCCTGTGTCCCTCAATCTGTGGAGGACAAATATAAAGCACTCAAAACAAACTACTTAAAGTCATGCTCATTAAGCTCAAGGTCAGGAGAAAATCCCCTACCTCTCCCTCATGGAGATGGAGTGGGACTCACAACACATCTCTCTCCAAAGATATTTCCCTTTTATTTCCAGAGGATCTCTCTACCAGTACAACTTATTAGACATGCTAACAATGAACACTTTCATAAAACTTGTTTTTACCCATCTTTTTTGCAAGTTCATGGTCTAGAACAGTGTTCTCCAAACCAAGGTAAGGAAATATTTTGGATGCATAAAATTTCCCAATGAGTACATGGGCATGAATAAGATAATCTATTTTCTATTCTTTGTCACCCACATAGACTCTTGTAAAAATAATCTACCTGAAAATATATCTGCAGTTTAGGCATCATGCTAGTCTTTCTTTCCAACCATCTCTTGTATAATTTCCTTTTCTAACATTATATAAGAAAGGCTTACCTTTCACCTATCCTAAATGTCACTATTGTACATTTCATTCTCCCCTATTATCAAAGAATTTATTCTTTAGGAGAAGAATCTCAGGAGATCAGGCTTTCCATAATTTTCCTATGCACTAGTAGCCAAATGCATACACGTGAAGAACAGAAAAATTCCAAAAGACAGTCTTAAAAAACAAGTTTCCTTTATTTAGAATAAATTGCTCCTATTCAGAGGATGATAGACTCATAAATTCTATTAAATGCATAATTAGAAACACAACCATTTTTAACCACAAGAAATTTCTATTGAATCTACATATAACATTTTCAAAAAGCTATTTTTCTGTCCACCTGTCAAGATCTTTTAAACCTTTTAGAGATCAGCCAAATTAAAAAATTAAAATTTAGCAAAAGATAATACATCTTTGTTCAGTTTATAGAAACAAGTCCTGTAACAGAAGATGTCCAGTTCAATGCTGTGTTTTATAGCTAGTGTCATCTAAGTGTAACCTCAAAAATGAGGTGTCAATAAGTAAAAGAGAAATAGGTATGATGTAATTCTTTTATAAGTCTATATAAAATTGATAGGGATTTTTTAGAAATTCACAAAGTGAATGATTCTAGTGACTAACAAATTCTGTAAGAATTTTGATGACTTTCAATGAACTTGAATGGAAAGCAAGTTGTAATCAACAGTAATTTTTGATTATTGTTGATTTTTCATTTGATTTTGATTATTATTTGATTTTTGACATACAACTAGGAAGAGTTCAAATAACCAAATAACATTACTATAATAAAACTCCTTCCCTCTACTGCCTCTTCATGGTAACAGTATTTCTTAGTGCTTACATCTTTAAAATAAAAGTAACTGGGGCTGGGGTTGTGGCTCAGTGGTAGAGCACTCACCTAGCACCTGTGAGGCCCTGGGTTTGATCCTCAGCACTACATAAAAAAAATAAAATAAAATAAAGGTATTTTGTCCAACTATAACTATAACCAATTTATAACTATAAATTAAAAAGTTGAATTTAAAATAATAGTAACTGATAATGAAACTCATATCTATGAAGCAATAAATAGAACACAGCCATAGCTCAATAGTTGCTCTGTGATCATAGAAAAAGACAAATCTAGGGTTTCTATACGTGGGAGCCTCTCTCCAGATCAGTTGCTAGTCCATTTCAAGGGAGAAGCAGAGACTTCTGCATAAAACAATGCTTCAAAACTCAGTGAAGCAATCCTCAGGAGCTTGTGAAGCACTTCTGAGTGAGTCTACAGGAATTTTCCTTCCCTTTTTGATTAGTTTGTCTTAGTGGCTCAGTAAAAACACAAATAATTGTGACCTTCCTTCAGGGAGACAATCTACAACTACAGCAAGCTGTCCCTGAACACCTGAACACGGTGCTTTGGATACCTCTATAAGTTCAATTCTGAACAAAGGATAAAAAGTGCTTAGAACACTGTTCCTGGGGAACATTAAATTGTCCCAGCAAGAGGCATGTATAACACAATATTTTTTTCTTAAGATATTTAGATATTTCTAATATCTGAAAGTGAGATATACATTCAAGCTCCTGATATTTACTGGCTGAGATTATTGGTTCACATCAAATAACAATTCCTCTACTAATATTCTAGAAATTACTCCCATCTTGGGAGGAAGATGATGGTGGTAACATAGCAGGGAATTTACTAAGCACCATAAATGTCCTGTGAAATAAATAATCCAGTCCCATTAAAAACAGGAGCAAATAAAGGTTTGCCTGCCAATATAATTATTATGTAACACTGTTTTGGTATTTTCAGCTAATTTTAGGACAAGAAAATAAAAGAAATATGCATTATAAATTAAAAAACAAAATTTCTCTAAATGCAGATGATTACTCATATTTCAAAACACAAAACTATTTGTATATTATAGTTCAGAAAAGGATTTAACACAATGACATGACACAAAATAAATATACAAAACTAAAGGTAGTATCATAAGGAAATTAAAATAAAATCCCATTCACAATAATCAAACTATAAAACATCTTGGAAAACTGAAAAAAAAGTACAATGATTATATAAAAAAGAATACAAAATTTTATATTGATGAACACTCTGAAAAAATTTTACATTTCCATGCTTAGGATACCAAAAAAATACTAAAATCTTTATCTTTCTTAAATAAATATAAATAATGAGTATAATTTTAATCATAATTGGCTTTAATGTGGTGTTTCCTTTAAAATTAAATATCATTTTAAATTTTATATTAAAGAATGAATATGTAAATTTTTTTAAAACAATATGTAAAATTTTTACAAACATACTAAATTACCTAAAAAACTGAAAAAGATGTTAGGTACTACATACATAAAAGATATTAAAATTTCTGTGACACTAATCTAAATAAAACAAACAGCATGTTATGAGCACAAACAGACAAACAAGTTGTTGACACAAAACTAAGTCCATAACTGGGATCACTATAAATGAAAATATAATATATGATAAATAATAATAGTTCAGTAGGAAAAGTACAGCTTATTCAATAAATGATTTTAATATCATAACTTGATCTCCATCTAGCAACGGAAAAAAATAGTGATATTCCTTCCTGGCACCATATTCAAAAACAGAAAGGGTAAGGGATTGAAGACTTTAATTTAAAGAATCTAAAAATATTTTTTAAAAATTAGAAAAATGGCACAATGAGTCTTTCAAAAGACTAAAACAGAAAAAAGAAAGTACAACCAATAAACTTGGTTTAGAGTCTACTGTATAGTAATATATGATACATAAAGGCAAAAAAACATAAATAGAATTTTACAAAGTCATGGAAAAAATGCTTTCAATATATACGTAAGACAATGTTTATAATTCTAATGTGAAAAGGCCTTAAAAATTGAAAAGCAAAAAAAAAACAACAAATATGACTAACATGTATGAACTGGGCTTCGTAAAGGGGAAAAATGCAAATGAATGAAAATATTTTTATAAAAGATGTTAAATCTTATTAGTTGCCAAGCAAATGTAATTTTGAATTATCAAAATAACAGTGGAATCATGAATTGCAGCAGATAATGCTTCTGTGATTCTCCTTTTAGAAATATATTCTGCAGAAATGGGTGTTTTTCTCTAAGGACAAATTGACCAGGGATGATTTAGGTATACATATTGATCTAAAGAGATTTCCATAGGACAGAATTAAGTGAATGTAGCAACAAAACATGTAAATAATGATGATCCTATGACTGTGAATAAAAGTAGAGAAGAACATATGTGTACAACTACATATATTTGTTTCATATGTGTTTTGAAGGAGTATAGAAAAAAATATTAAAAGATATGCACCACATTTTTATGCCTTCATATTATTGGTTTTTTAAAAAAATAACTACGTTCTCATTTTTTAATTTTGAATGAAAACTCCAATGAAGCGTGTATAAATATACAGAATAGATATTTAATGCATTAGGATTTCAAAGGTGAATGACAGGTGTGTGAAGAAAGTGCACTTGATCAGAGTTTGAAAGATAAATGAAGAAGTAAGGAACAAACAAAGGGGGTCTTTTAAAGCCAGTGACAAAGAAGGAAGACAACAATGTTATCCAGAATCATTTAGGCTCACTTCTAATACTCCAAACCAATTGTAACTACATATTTAAAAACTAAAAGTATCTATCTTTATATTTCTGTACTAACATTATTATTGTTATTATTGAATGAAGTAAATTCTGGATTAAATAGAGTTGCCATTGCTATCAGGAAAATATAGACAATATAATCAGAAAACCCAAAGAATCTTCAATTTTTAGCTATATATTAATCTACCTTACTTTTTCTAAGCAAAAGTGACAGGATTGCAACCCACAACAACCCAAGTAAATGAACAACTTTTACCTTAACATGCACCAGTACCTTCACTCACTGTTGCTTCTATTTTGTAAGGTCAGCAAATTCTTAAAAAATTACAGTGTAATCAGTACAAATAAAGCACTGCAAATATGTAAGCTGGAGCTTCTTGGTCTTGAGAGAAGCAGAAGCAGAGTTGTAAATAAAGGGATCTTTGTTTACATAAGTTTTAATCCTTTGGTAAAGTTTCTTTGGCTCCAAGAGTTGCGTAAAGCAGGTTATAATCTTGGAAACGGGTCCCAAGATCAGTCACTTGGAGCCAGAGGCTCCTCCTTACTGTTTCCTTTTTTTTGTTTTGTTTTGTTTTGTTTTTAAGTTAACTCTTATGTGGATTTTGTTCCAACTATTACTTGTTGAAAGCCTACTTAACTTTGCTGACTTCATTTTTTTAAATTTTGTGATTAAGAAGACTTTAACAACTCTCTTGAATTAAAAAAAATGACTCTTTTAGCAAATTAAGATATGTGTATATTGAGAGAGATTGTTCAGTGTAGCTGAATAACCAGGAATGATAATATCAAAACAGGAATAAATATGGAAGCACAGAGTTGATATAGGCAGAACTCTTCATTTCCACAGGATAATATTGACATTTTTAAACAGTAGAATGATATGAGGAAAAAAAAACAGTATTTACAGATTATTCCATCACCAATTTGCTAGCTGGATTTGGATGAGTGAAAGACTAGGGATGGTGTCAAGTAATGAGCTATTCATATCTGGGAGGAATTTAGGGTGCAATGAAAGTGACAGTTGGATTGATATCTTCAAAGGGAAATGTAATATGATGTTATGGGATATTTAAAAGCACTGGTTGAACCCAGTTCCAGCAGTGACTACTTGTGATCTTGGACAAGATAATTAGTCTCCGTTTTTAAATTTATACCAGGGGATATTTGTGACTCCTACCTGGAAGGTTTGGTAAGATTATTCATTCAGCGAACACCAGTTGAGTGCCTATTCTGTGCCAAATACTTTTCTAGGTACTAGAGATATTATAATAACTAAAACAGTCTAGATTCCTTCTTATGAATTTTTTCTGTTCTGATTGAAGAAAGAAAGAAAATAAACAAGTCAACAAAAAAAAATAATAAGATGTAATTATTTTACTTTGCTACATCTATTTAATGAATTCATTTAGATGCTATGGGAGTGGGGTATGTGTGTCTATTAATCAAATCAGAACATTTTCTACAGTCCTGTTTATTATTCCTCAGATGTTACTTCGTATCATCCCTAAAGAAAAAGGGACAGTAAAACACCATGTTCCTGAATGCCTCCTTTTCATTCCCAAAAACGTAGCCAAGTTAAGGGAACAACGTCCAGATACTTATTATCTTGAAGGACACCGGCTTTCTCTTTTTGCACACTGGGAACTAGGATAAACTAGTGTTATCTATGGAAAGCTATTTTCTTGCATACATTAAGAAAGTTGCTTCTCAGGATGCCGATCATGCAAGAAAACAAAGAAAGCTCATTCTAATGACATCACTGCTTTTGAAGTCTACCATATAAAACCCCTTCCTCGGAGGTGATAGAGGCGGATCTGTGGGCACTGTGTGGAAAGGACATGTTACTCATCCCGCCAGCTGCCACTGGATAAAACACGGTGAGGAGAGGAGGCGCTACTTGGCAAAAAACAGTGAGGGATGTCAGTGCTATCGGCCCATTGTCACTGATCTCTTCTTGAAGCAGTCACCGATTCTTGCAAGCTTTCCCCAATAAATCATATGTGTCATGTGCCGTCCCTGGATACTTTATTTTATTTTATTTATTTATTTTGCTTTTCTGTAACCTATACTACTGCCCTGGCACAATTGAGCAGTGGACATGACATACTTGCACCACTCCTCAGCAACTGCTGGTGAGGTTCTTTCATTGTTTCCAGAAGAAGAAACACAAAAATGACTGTCCATCATGAAGCTTTGTGAATAAAATTGGGAAATTGCTTCAAAAGTCCTTGATCCCTCCTATCACCTCATCCAGAGAAGAAATAGAAATTCCAACCTCTCACTTCTCTTAAGAGAAACTAAGGGTTAGCATTGCTTTCTATGCTCTGGTAATAATAGATATATGTGTTTGTCAGCTTTTCATTACTGTGACAAAAATACCTAAAGAGAACACCTTAAAGGAAGAAAAGTTTATTTGGGCTCAATTTCAGTGGTGTCAGTCCATGGTTGTCCAACTCCATCACTCAGGCCTGAGGTGAGGCAGGATGCTGTGGTAGAAGAAGGCAGCAGAGAAAACTGCTGTGCTCATGGTGGTTGGGAAAGTGGGGAGGGGTTGGATATAATACAAGACCCACTCTCTCAGCCACATCTACATGCCTACAGTTACCATTCAGTAGTCCATTCAAATTATTAAATCAACAAATGGATTAATCTACTAATAAAGTCAGAGCCCTAATCACTGTCTCAAAGCCCCACCTCTAATTTTGATGCATTGGAGATCATACCTTCTAAACAGGAGCTTTTAGGAGAAATTCCTAGATCTAAAGCATAACAGAAGATATTCGTAAGTATTTTTTATGTGCCACAGGCCAATCCAGTAGCACAGGTATATTAACTACATATTTTCATTCCCCCCAAAATTTACAAATAGATGGCTACTTTTAATTATCCCACTTTTACAAATGAAGATACAGAAATACAGAGAGGTTTTAACAGCCCTAAGATCACATAGCTGGTAAGCAGAAGAGTAGAGGTTCAGTCCACCTTCATAACATTTGACTAAGGTAACTCTTTGTAGTTGACATTTAATCAGCAAACAAGTGGGAGTCTTAAAATAATTTAACAGAGAATTGTATGCCTCTTCCTTCCTTTTGTTGTAATTTTTATAAATTCTTAGAATATTCAAAGCCTTGGAGAACCACGGTCCTTTAAAAATATGGTATTAGATTATATAGCCCATCTTTTTATAAAATAAGACATATCACATTGTCTCTGTCCAGAAGTACCCCTGCCCCACACCTGACATCTCCATTGCTGCCTATCCCTTTCCCCATTTTACCTTCCCTCAGGGTCATTCAATTTAACAAAAATAACTTCAAGAAGGCAAAAGTACCCTAAAGAAAACCAAATGTAGTGATGGGAATCAAAGCAGCCAAGGGTCTATGTTTTGGGGAATGGTCTTGACAAGCTCTGAGGAGATAATGCTCAAATGGAAACTCAAAGTGTAACAAGGAGAAACTGTGTAAGTATCTAGAGACAAAGCCACCCAAGCTTAGAGAACAGCAAGTACAAAATCCCCAGGGCAGAAGAAAACTGGCATTACATATTTGTTAGTGTAGGTGCAGAAGGGTGAGCTCTACTCACTGAGGGGAAAGGGAACAAGTTGGAGCACTGAGCAGAGCCAGATACAACACAAAAGTTAATCCAGTAAGGAGTTTAGACTGTTCTCTTATGGAAATGAGAGGCCCACAGACAGTGTGAAGCAGGAAAATGACTTGACCAAATTTGTTTGTACATGGTGCCAGGTAGAGAAAGGGCAGGTTAACAGAAGGAAGTATAAAGCCATAAAGCTACTGGAAAGGTCCAGGAAAGAAATTGTCAATGGCTTGGAAAAGGGTTGCGGCACTGGTGACAAAGAGATCTGCATGCATTCAGAATATATTTGGAAGATACCTCAAGGATTTATTGACAGAACTTTTTCAGAAGGCTTTCTGTTAGGGAAATGACTAGAAAATTCTGTGACAACTCCAAGGGTTCCCAGTAGTTAGGGCCCCAGATTATTTTTTCTAGTGCCTCAGTCATTCTGACAAGTATTTTCCCCTGACTACAATGGGCTTACCCAAAATGCACTGAAAACAACTTTTATTGTATAACAAATGGATTTAATAACCATCTTGAAATCATTTTAAAAACACTGACAATTGTCCATTGGTTATAAAAATGAGTTCTTCTCCTATTGCTTAGTTTCTATCAGCTACCACTTTTTTTTTCTTAATCAGAAACAATGCTTCCTCTTTGAATAAATGTCTACCCAAGGTCATCATCCCTTCCTCAGGACAGTGTAACAAAGAATCCTTTAATATGTCATTGTTGACTCTTGCTCTGTTCCCAATATTTAATGTGATTTCTTACAATACTATCTTACCACATACAATGGCACACCCAAAGATGTGTGTATACATCTCTGTCAGTATCATATATGCATGTGAACCAAGGAAGCAGGCTACGAAGACTATTAGGCTACCCTTTAAAGAACATGTGCAGTCGTGTGTGTTTGTGTGTGTGCATGTGCGTGAGTGTGTATACACACGCATGCAAGTGTTTTTATAAACCAGAGTACAGTCACTGCAAAAGTGGGCTTGTTATTCATCCTAAAAACCAGAGTGAAGAAAGTCATGCTCAAAGACCACCAGAGGCCTCCAAAACTTACCTAAAAGAACTTCTGAGTGAATAACAGGTAAAATAAAGGCTATTACTGTTTTTAAACTGGTTAAAACTTATAGATACAAAAGCAGTGAAAATGTACACAGACAGGGTCTGTACACCACACTCAGAAATGTACCCTAGGTTCTAAAAGCACTCTTAAATCCCACTTCTCAAAGAAAACTGAGTCTCTTTCTTTCAAATCTTTTTATTGTTTATTTTCCCTCAAATCCTTATCTCAAATTTGCTCACAAGGAAGATAATATCACTTGATGATAATTCCATTGTGTGGATCACGGGGCTCTGTTTCTCACATTATTAGAAGATGGGACCACTTCTAAACCCCAGGGTTATGTGCTGAGGACCCTCGAACTATGCTGGCAAGTATGTTGTATTCTCGTCCTCCCAGTATAAGGTATAGATAACAACTTTGGATGAATAGAATAAAACAGGAATCATGTCAATCGATGGATGGATAGTATAAAATAGAGCCAAATCTGGCCTGGCACCTGTTTTTGCAGTTAAAAGTTTTATTGAAACACAGCCACATTCAACCATTTAAATTTTGTTTATGGCTATTTCACAACTATACACAGAGTCGAACAGTTGGAAGAAGAAGGAGATCTGGGGCGGGGGGAGGAGGGAAAGGAGAAGTACTGGAGAATGAAATTGATCAAATTATGTTGCATGAATCCCGTTATATGCACCAATAAAAACTTCCTTAAAAAAGACTAAAATATTTACTATGTAGCCCTTTTCAGAAGAGTGTTTGCTGACCCCTGCTGTAGAACAATGCTTCTGGTAGCAGTAGTGGCCACTTGTGGTAGAATCTTAGAGG